TTGCTGTCCCAGGGAGTTTGAGCTGTTCCTGTCCTAGGGAGTTTGGGCTGTTCCTGTCCCAGGGAGTTTGAGCTGTTCCTGTCCTAGGGAGTTTGGGCTGTTCCTGTCACATTGTCCCAGGGAGTTTGAGCTGTTCCTGTCCTAGGGAGTTTGGGCTGTTCCTGTCCCAGGGAGTTTGGGCTGTTCCTGTCACATTGTCCCAGGGAGTTTGAGCTGTTCCTGTCCCAGGGAGTTTGGGCTGTTCCTGTCACATTGTCCCAGGGAGTTTGGGCTGTTCCTGTCCTAGGGAGTTTGGGCTGTTCCTGTCACATTGTCCCAGGGAGTTTGGGCTGTTCCTGTCCCAGGGAGTTTGGGCTGTTCCTGTCCCAGGGAGTTTGGGCTGTTCTGTCCCAGGGAGTTTGGGCTGTTCCTGTCCCAGGGAGTTTGGGCTGTTCCTGTCACAGGGAGTTTGGGCTGTTCTGTCCCAGGGAGTTTGGGCTGTTCCTGTCCCAGTGTCCCAGGGAGTTTGGGCTGTTCCTGTCCCAGGGAGTTTGGGCTGTTCCTGTCCCAGGGAGTTTGGGCTGTTCCTGTCCCAGGGAGTTTGGGCTGTTCTGTCCCAGGGAGTTTGGGCTGTTCCTGTCCCAGGGAGTTTGGGCTGTTCCTGTCACAGTGTCCCAGGGAGTTTGGGCTGTTCCTTTCCCAGGGAGTTTGGGCTGTTCCTGTTATACAAATCCACATCTCTGTCCTCCTTGGAGCTCCTGGCATGTTTCAGGCCCTGCATGGGGAGCCTGTAAAATTCCCTTGGCTCCTTCCTAGCAGCCCTTCCCAGCTGATATTTGAAAACTTCCATAGCATCATCTCAATATTCCAGTGTTTGCTGGTGTAAAATTCTCTTCATCATCCTGGGACTAAGATGATTTATCTTCAGCTCCTCGGGACTCATTTCTCGTTTCTGTGGCTTTTGAACTCAGAGATCTGACTCGTGTCCAGATTTTTCTCTTTTCCCTTGACTTTTCCTCTGGCTTTTTTTTGGCACCAGGTCCAGTTGGCATCCTGAGGTGATGAGGAGATAAAAGCAGCAAGGCCAAGAGCCTTGGGAGGGATTTGGGTGATGGTTTTTAAAGATTTTAGGGCGTGGGATGTGTTACAGGCTGGGTTTGTAGCTGTGAGCTTGGCTCTGTGTCCTGCTGTGGCAACAAGGGCTCCTTGCAGGGTGAACCCCTGGAATCAGGAATGTTTCAAGTCTTTATTCATTAATTGCTTGGGTTTTTGTAAATTTGAGTGGCAAAAAGTGTGCTGAGAGAGAATGTGGGTGCAGAGAGATTGGCCTGGACAGGGTAGACAAAAGGTCCAGAAATTGTTCTTCCAAAATGGTCTTCCCAAAAAATGCTGGATGTGTGGTTGAGTAGCTGGGGGCTTTCTGCAGGGATGCTCAGCAGTATCCAGTGAGAGGGGTGGCTGGCAATTCTGGACACAAATGCAGCAATCCCAGCAGAAACTTCTGGAGATCACCTTAATTTTGTGGGAATCTTTCTCCAAGTTCTTGGTGCTCCTTTCCTGTTGTTTCCTGGAGCTGTGCTCACTTTGCTGAAGACCTGGAGCATTTCTCATTCCCAGAGTTCCTTGGAATCACTGCAGGATCCATCAGCAGAGCATGGATGCAGGAGAGGACATCCCCCAGCTGGGTTCCTTCAGGACTGTGGGTCTCCAGCAGGCCTGGATGGGAGCCTGCTGATTAATAATTCCTGCTGATTAATTCCTGCTGATTAATTCCTGGCGTGTTTGGGACAGGATCCATCTGGGATTGGGCTGTGAGGTTTTCGCCTTTCGGAAAAAATTCAGCGTGAGCTGAGAGAACAGAGCCTGGATTCGCTGCCAGATCCATCCCCAGGAGTGATGGTGGAGCTTTCTGTGGGAATGTGGCCTGGACACTGCTCCAGAGGTGTCCAGTCCCTTCTGCTGCTCCCCTGTGCTGCTGGGACAGAGCAGTTGTGGGATTATCTGCCTCACATTCCTGGATGTCCCAGCTCCTGCAGTAACTGCTCCCTTTCCTGAGGACTTTCTGGAGATGGAGAAGGCTTGCAGGGTGGGAGTGTTCTCTGCACCAGCTCCATGCAGCTCTCCCAGGAGTGCTCTCAGCTCTTCTGTTGGTGGCATTCCAAGATTTCACTTTCCTGGGCATCTTTTCCTCGGTGGAGGAGGGCGAGGGCGGGTGGTTCACCCCAGCTGTGTTAGTGACTGGAATTCACCTCATTTCAAGGAAGGAGGCCTTTCCCAGCTTCATTTCTGCTGATGCACTGCCAGAGGTTTCCCCTGTGTTGATCCAAGGGCTTTGTGGCTGAAATCCACTTCATTTTCAGTCTGTCCTCACTTACAGACTCAGGGAATGGTTTGGGTGGGAAGGGACCTTAGAGATTCCAACCCAAACCATGGGCAGGGACACCTCCCCCTGTCCCAGGCTGCTCCAGCCTGGCCTTGGGCACTGCAGGGATGCAGGGGCAGCCCCAGCTGCTCTGGGGATTTGTGCCAGGGTCTCGCTGCCCTCACAGGGAAGACTTTCTGGTCTCCTGTTGATAAACAACGTGGTTGTTCCCAAACCTTTCACCCCAATAATTCTCCCTTTCATGACCTTAATTCACTCACTGATTTTTCGATAGGAATTTTAGGACTTTGCCACAACAAGGACAATATTCAGCTATGTCCCTGTGTGGCTCATGAATATTTTTTGAATTTGGCAACACCAGGATCGAGTCCGAGTGTGGGAAACTCAGTTTGAATTTACAGTTGGCATTAACTCAGGGAGCTGAGGAGCATCCAGGCTGGAGCTGCTCAGGATCAGCCTGGGAGAGCTGCTTTTTATTAAGCAGGACTTGATTTAGTCCAAAGTAAAACCATTTGTGCTTAATCTGATCCATGAAGCTTCTGTGAGCGTGAAAATCCAGACAATTAAACATTTCCTGGGCCATCATTGCACACAGTGGAGCTGTGTAGGACTTTGGGAACCTGGAATGGTCATCCAGGGATACATTTCCTAAGGAATTAGTACCACAACAGGAAGTTTTAAAGTTTGAGTGCCATGAAGCAATCTGGTGACCAATGTCCCTCAGCCACGACCCTTCCTTGGGAGGCTCCTCACCCCAAACCTGGAGTGGTGATGCTGCTTTTCCAGAGATTCCATTGGATTTCAGCAGGAAAATCACAGCACTGAGGGCATTTTTCTGTTCCCAGCTGCCCTTTGGGAGCTGCTCCTGGGTGGGTGCAGCAAGTAAAATTCCTTGCTGTGGAGTTTTAGGGCAGAGCAGCTCCTGCTGGGCCCAGAAACTTCCAGAGCCAAACAAACAGCTGTAAACTTTTCCCTCTCCCTGTGAGAATGAGGGGAAGGAGGTTCTTGTGTCCCAGCCCTTTTGGAGCTGACTCTGTGGATAAAGTCTGTCCAATCTGGGAGTTCTTGTACTTGAGGGATCCTGAGGAACCCCAGGGATGGGACTGGGATCTCCTCCCAAAAACTGCAGAGCCTCACCCAGCCCGTGGTGACATCCAGCACATTTCATAGGTTGTCACTTAAACTCAGGGCTCTGAGCTGGGAATTCTTTGTTCCTGGTGGGTTTTGGGAATTCCTGGTGGGTTGGGAACATTCCAGTGTGTGCCCAGGTGTCATCAGGGTCTGTGGAATTCCTACAATCCTGGGCAAACTTGGTGCCATGAAAGCAGAAAATCTTTTCCATCCAAGGAGGGGAAAAAGGGGGAATCTGCATTTCCCTCCAGCTGGAACCTTCCTGCCAAGCCCTGCTGTGCTGTGAAGGATCTTTATAGGAAATATTCCCTGTCCCTTCCCTCAGATGGGAGCAGCCTCGGTGCTGCAGAGCCAGAGTTCAGCTGGGAACAAACCTTTGATTTGCTCCTGCTTCCCTTGTAATTCTCAGCCACGCCACTGATGAAAGGGAATTGCTGGAGGACATTATTCCCCATCCATTAACCCTGATTTACAGCAGAATTCCTTATCAAGCTTCAGTGCTGAAACACCACCATAATTGTCTTAACTGGGCCTGGCTTGGGATGAAGATTTCCTGCTTTTCCCTTTGTGTTCCCCTCTTTCCCACTTGCCTTTCCCTTTGTATTCCCTCTTTCCCACTTGCCTTTCCCTTTCTATTCCCTTCTTTCCCACTTGCCTTTCCCTTTGTATTCCCTCTTTCCCACTTGTCTTTCCCTTTCCATTCCCCTCTTTCCCACTTGCCTTTCCCTTTCCATTCCCCTCTTTCCCACTTGCCTTTCCCTTTGTATTCCCCTTTCCCACTTGCCTTTCCCTTTGTATTCCCCTTTCCCACTTGCCTTTCCATTCCCTCTTTCCCACTTGCCTTTCCCTTTGTATTCCTTTTTCCCCACTTGCCTTTCCCTTTGTATTCTCCTCTTTCCCACTTGTCTTTCCCTTTCCATTCCCCTCTTTCCCACTTGCCTTTCCCTTTCCATTCCCTCCTTTCCCACTTGCCTTTCCCTTTCTATTCCCTTCTTTCCCACTTGTCTTTCCCTTTCCATTCCCTTTTTCCCCACTTGCCTTTCCCTTTGTTCCCTTCCTCCCAGAGCACTTTGATTCTCCCTGTTGTTCTTTCACCCCATTTCTCCCCAGACTCAGGAGTTTTTTGGTCTTGCAAGTCAGAGATTGCCAGGATTTGCATGGGAGCTGTGGGAGGGGAAATGGAATTCATTGGAGCAGTGGGTTTGTTTCAAACATGTCCCAGTGCTCTCCCAAATCTGAGCTTGCTCTGTGCATGAGGGGATGGAAAATGGAAAAGCCTGAGGGTTCATCCCAGGGTTCCTCAGGGCAGGGGAGGGTGGGGAATTGGCTTTGCCAGCATCACTGTGGGGCAGGGGTCACTCAGATGGGTCAGGACGCTCAAATTCCGTGTGGGGCTTGGGATAATTTGAATCTTTGGGTCAGTGGGCTTTGGGTGCATTCCTTGGGTGTGAGTAAATGGGTTTTTTGTTTCCTGGATTGGATGTTTTTCCTTGACTTGCTGCGCCAGGATCGAGAGCAAACACGAAGTCACAATCTTAGGAGGACTCAACGAATTTGTTGTGAAGTTTTATGGACCACAAGGAAGTAAGTTCCTGACCTGCCCTTCCAGAAAAGCAATCCACTGGCCTGGGGAATAGGGAAATGCCATTCCAGAGGGGAACAGATGAGCAGATCTGAGGGGGATGGAGGGAAATCCACATTCTGAGGGTGGGCAGGATCCAGCTGGGAGCACGGCCATGGATAGGCCCCATCCCTGGGAGCTCTGGGAGACTCCTGCAGCATCCCTGAGCTTTCCCAGAGCTGGCCAAGCCTGGGTCACTGGTGGGAATTTCCATGGAGTTTGCAATTCAAATGGTGCTTTCCCCCCTTCATTTAGCCCATCTCCAAAGGTGAGGAGATCGTCCCTCAGTGCCTGGTTTGAACCAGGCTCTGGTGCCTTTGTGCTGAGATCTTCTCCAGGATCTCCTCAAACCCTGGGAGGCAGAGCAGGGGAAGGCTTTGGAAGCTCCCTCCCAGGGGAGCTGTGGATTATTGTGGATTATTCCAGGGATGTTTTCCCTGGTGCTGTGGTTCTGTTTGGCCTCTCTCAGCTGAGCAGTCTCTAACTCCTGCTTCTCCTCCCTTGCAGCACCCTATGAAGGTGGAGTGTGGAAAGTTAGAGTCGACCTTCCTGACAAATACCCCTTCAAATCCCCGTCTATAGGTAACAAAGACTCATTTCCATCCAAATCCTGGGCTTGGGGCCTGCAGTTTGCAGGTGTAATGCAAGGACTTCTATGGGATTTCAGATCCCAAGAAAAGAGGAATTTTGGGCTTTGGAAGGAGGAGGAGCTGGGAGTGGGATTTGGCTGCATATTTGTGTGTTGATCAATTCAATCTCTGTTCCATGTGGGTTTTTTTAGTCATTAACTCAACTTATTGTGGAATTAATTATTTAAAAAATTAGATTTAAATAAAAAAATAAATTTATTTTTAAAAATTATTAAATTTATCAAATTTTAAAATTTATTACATTATTGCATTTTAAAATTTATTAAATTTAAAATTATTAAATTTATTTTTATTTAAATTTTATATAAATTTCTAAATTAATTAATTTATTTATTAAATTTAATTTTATTAATTTAAAAATTTAATCATTAACTCCACTTATTGTGGAATTAATCATTAAAAAAATTAAATTTAAATTTAAAAAATTAAATTTATTTTTAAAATTTAATAAATTTATTAAATTTAAAAATTATTAAATTATTACATTTTAAAATTTATTAAATTTAAAATTTATTAATTTTATTTTGATTTAAATTTTCTATAAATTTATAAATGAATTTACTTTTACTTACTTATTACATTTAATTTTATTAATTTAAAAATTTAATAATTAACTCCACTTATTGTGGAATTAATTATTACAAAAATTAAATTTAAATTAAAAAAAATTAAATTTAAGTTTATTAAATTTAAATTTAATAAATTTATTAGATTTTAAAATGTATTAAATTATTAGATTTTAAAATTTATTAAATTTAAATTTATTAAATTTATTTTTATTTAAATTTTATGTAAATTTATAAATGAATTTATTTATATATTAAATTTTAAAATTTAATCATTAACTCCACTTATTGTGGAATTAATTATTTTAAAAATTAAATTTAAAAAATTAAATTTATTAATTTCAAATTTAATAAATTTATTGAATTTAAAAATTTATTACATTATTACATTTTAAAATTTATTAAATTTAAATTTATTAAATTTATTTTGATTTAAATTTTCTATAAATTTATAAATGAATTTATTTACTTATTTATTACATTTAATTTTATTAAATTTAAAAATTTAATCATTAACTCCACTTATTGTGGAATTAATTATTACAAAAATTAAATTTAAATTAAAAAAATTAAATTTAAATTTAAATTTAATAAATTTATTTAATTTTAAAATTTATTAAATTATTATTATACATTTTAAAATTTATTAAATTTAAATTTATTGAGTTCATTTTTATTTAAATTTTATATGAATTTATAAATGAATTTATTTATTTATTTATTTATTACATTTAATTTTATTAAATTTAAAAATTTAATAATTAACTGCACTTATTGTGCAGTGGGGGAGCAAAGACCACAGTTCTTGGTGTTGGGGTGAGCCCAACTTTTGGGGTTTTCTGTCCAAAAGTGGGTGGAAGTTGTTGCTCTGCAGCCTCCATCCTCTTGGGGCAGGGAATGCACATGTGGGAGAACTGAAAAGCAGGGATTGATCACCAAAAATCTTCTTGTTTCACCTTGGGGAGCAATGGGGAATTCCACTGGGAGATGGTTTGAGCTTGGATCCGTGCCTGGGGAGCAGGAAACCACCTCAGGTGTCTCCAGGGGCTGAAGGCCTTTCCAGCCTCATCATCCTCCTTTGGCTGCCTCCTTCAAATGCCCCCTCAGGCTCAGGGTTTTTGGGAGCTCTGTGGGATGGGGATTCCTCTGCTCCAGTGGGAATTGTGCCTTTGGGAGAGGCTGCTGCTGTCCATGCACCATCCTTCACCTTTTTTTAATTTTATTTTTTGTTGTTTGAGACCCTCTGTGAACCCCAGGAATGTGCAGACATTTCTGAGGGAGAGAGCGCAGGAATCTGCAGCCCTGAGGAGCCTTTTCCTCCCCCTGAGCCAGCTCTGGAAATCCCTCTTGGAGAGGCACATTCCCATGGGAATTCCCACTCTTTGCTGCCCTTGGCCCTTGCTCCTTCCCCCCTTCCCAAACCAGTGCAGCCCAGGGCAGTCTGAAATCATGGAAGGGGATCTGAAACCTCATGGAAAGGGATCTGAAACCTCATGGAATGGGATCTTAGACCTCATGGAATGGGATCTCAAACCTCATGGAATGGGATCTGAAACCTTGTGGAATCATGGAATGGGATCTTAAACCTTGTGGAATCATGGAATAGGATTTTAAACCTTATAGAATAATGGATTAGGATCTCAAACCTCATGGAATGGGATCTCAAACCTCATGGAAAGGGATCTGAAACCTCATGGAATGGGATCTGAAACCTCATGGAATGGGATTTTAAACCTCATAGAATAATGGATTGGGATTTTAAACCTCATGGAATGGGATTTTAAACCTTATGGAATCATGGAATGGGATTTTAAACCTCATAAAATAATGGATTGGGATCTTAAACCTCATAGAATCGTAGATTGGGATCTTAAACCTCATGGAATGGGATCTTAAACCTTGTGGAATCATGGAATGGGATTTTAAACCTTATAGAATAATGGATTAGGATCTTAAACCTCATGGAATGGGATCTTAAACCTCATGGAATGGGATCTCAAACCTCATGGAATGGGATTTTAAACCTCATGGAATGGGGTCTCAAACCTCATGGAATCATGGAATAGGATTTAAAACCTCATAGAATCATAGATTGGAATCTTAAACCTCATGAAATGGGATCTTAAACCTTATGGAATCATGGAATGGGATATGGGATCTTAAACCTCATGGAATGGGATCTCAAACCTCATGGAATGGGATCTCAAACCTCCTGGAATCATGGAATGGGATATGGGATCTGTAACCTCATGGAATGGGATCTCAAACCTCCTGGAATCATGGCTTGGGATGTGTAACCCCAGCCCCAGCCCCTCCAGTGTCGCAGGCTGCTCCAGCCCCAGTCCAGCCTGCTTGGACACTGCAGGGATCCAGGCCAGCCCCATGTGCAGGGAGCAGCTTCTGCTCACATCTTTGGGCCCTTTTTGGGCTGATTCTGCTGCTTTTCTCTCCATTTTCCATCCCTCTCCTGTTTCAATCTGTTGTGTTCATCCCAGACCTCGTGAGGAGCTTCCCTCACCCTACAAGTCTCTGTTCAAGTGGCAGAAAACTCTTCTTTTCTTCCTAAAAAATGCCTCTTGCTAAAACCTCCTTTTTTTCCTTCCTAAAATCTTCCTCTTGCTGAAATACCCCTTTTTTCCCCTCAAGATCTTGCTGAAACCTCATATTTTTCTTCCCAAAAACCTGCCTCTTGCTGGAAAATCTGCTTTTTTTGTTCCCAAAATCTTCCTCTTCCTGAAAAACTCCTTTCTTATCTTCAAGCTCTTGCTGAAACCTAAATTTTTTCTTACCAAGAAACTGCTTCTTGCTGAAAAAACCCTTTTTTCTTCCTAAAATCTTCCTCTTGCTGAAAAACCACTTTTTCCTGCTCAAGATCTTGCTGAAACCTCATTTTTTTCTTCCCAAAAACTGCTTCTTGGTGGAAAACCCCTTTTTTCCTTCCCAAAATCTTCCTCTTGCTGAAAAATCCCTTTCTTCCTTCCCAAAATCTTCCTCTTGTAGAAAAACCCCTTTTTTCTCCTCAAGATCTTGCTGAAACCTCATATTTTCCTTCCCAAAGTCTTCTTCTTGCTGGAAAATCCTTTTTTCCTTCCCAAAAAATCTTCCTCTTGCAGAAAATCCCTTTTTTCCCCTCAAGCTCTTGCTGAAACCTCATTTTTTTTCTTACCAAGAAACTGCTTCTTGCTGAAAAAACCCTTTTTTCTTCCTAAAATCTTCCTGTTGCTGAAAAACCACTTTTTTCTCCTCAAGATCTTGCTGAAACCTCATTTTTTTCTTCCCCAAAAAATGCTTCTTGCTGGAAAATCCAATTTTCCCTTCCCAAAATCTTCCTCTTGTAGAAAAACCCCTTTTTTCTCCTCAAAATCTTGCTGAAGCCTCCTTTTTTCCTTCCCAAAAATCTTCCTCTTGCAGAAAATCCTTTTTTTTCCCCCCTCAAGATCTTGCTGAAACCTCATATTTTCCTTCCCAAAACCTGCCTCTTGCTGGAAAATCTGCTCTTTTCCTCCCCAAAATCTTCCCCTTGTAGAAAACACCCTTTTAGATCTTTGAGTTCTTGCTGAAACCTCATTTATTTCCCTCCCAAAGTCTTCATCCTTTTCTTCCTTCCCAAAAGTTTCCTCTTCCTGAAAAACCCCATTTTTCTCCTCAGGCTTGTCTGAAAATCCCCATTTTTCTGAAAACCCCCATTTTTCCTGAAAAACCCCATTTTTTTTCTGAAAACCCCCATTTTCCTGAAAACCCCCATTTTTTTCCAAAAACCCCCATTTTTCCAAAAACCCCCATTTTTCTGAAAACCCCATTTTCCTGAACACCCCCATTTTTCTGAAACCCCCCATTTTTCTGAAAATCCCCATTTTTTTCTGAAACCCCCATTTTCCTGAAAACCCCCATTTTTCTGAAAATCCCCATTTTTCTGAAAACCCCCATTTTTCTGAAAACCCCCCATTTTTTCTGAAAACCCCATTTTCCTGAAAACCCCATTTTTCTGAAAACCCCCATTTTTTCTGAAAACCCCCATTTTCCTGAAAACCCCCGTTTTTCTGAAACCCCCATTTTTTTCTGAAACCCCCATTTTCCTGAAACCCCCCATTTTCCTGAAACCCCCCATTTTCCTGAAACCCCCCATTTTTCCGAAAACCCCCATTTTCCTGAAAACCCTCATTTTCCTGAAAACCCCCATTTTTTCTAAAAACCCCCATTTTTCTGAAACCCCCATTTTTCTGAAAACCCCCATTTTTTTTCTGAAACCCCCATTTTTCTGAAAACCCCCATTTTTTTTCTGAAACCCCCATTTTCCTGAAACCCCCATTTTCCTGAAACCCCCATTTTTCTGAAACCCCCCATTTTTCTGAAAACCCCCATTTTT